AGGAACGATTTTAATTTGTATGTATATCTTCTTTATCATCCTTAGATTTATATTTCTTTTATAAAACATTAAAAATTAACTATGATGTTTAGTATATGTCTTACTTAGAACTTAAGCATGAAGCCCATATAATTTTAAAAACATCTTTTTAAGGAATCTTTTTCGCTTTTGTAAAGTAGAGCATTAATTAGATATACTAAAGTAATAGTTTTGAATCCTGAAGTAAAAAATGCTTTATGAATTACATGTTTATACAATTTAAATATTAAAATTCAATGTTTTTATTTGTAGCATGTTTAAATACACAGATAACTTCATATGATTAAAAATGATAAAAGTCAATGTTAAATGTGATATTTTTGAAATATCAAATATCTCTTAAAATAATTAAAGATAATTTTACTATGTAAGTAAAACAAAAATGTAGCATTAAGCTTTTAATGACAGAATATTGAGGTATGAGGACACATTTCTAAGTATTGATTTTTATCAGTAGGAATGCACAAAGCCACACCATCCAGTGTCTAGAATTGTCAGATTAAAGCAGAAGGTTTCAGCAGACATTTATGGATCAAGAAGTCTTGCTTATTTTCATTTTGTATTTTTTTAATTATAAAAATTTCTTAGGCAAGGGAACAAGATCATATTGAAAGTTAAAATGTAGATATAGTCTTATAAGTAAGTTAGTGCTGGTAAGATTACTTTTAAGCCATAGAAAGCTTAAGTTGGAATATTTATCATTTAGATAGGAAATTTTAACATGAGAACATTTTTACTCAAAATAGCTTTTATTTAAATTAATGCAAAATATTATACTTTAATTAAGTACTTATTAGTGACTTTGGCATTTGAAAACTGTCTTAAAATTAGGTAAAACAACCCCCCTTTTCAGAGGGGGTTTATAATATAGACTAGAAAAGATTGCATGAAATACCACACAAAAAGGACTCAACTTAGTGTTTTCAGCCTAATAAAAATGTTGTAAAAATACTTGTAAGCTTGAAAATCACACTAGCTATTCTTGTTTCAAATTCTGTTTAATATATTGTTCTGTATGATTTTATAATAAACAGATTACTCCTTGAACAGGAATTAAGAATAAAGCTGCCAGGAAGGGGTTTTGTTGTCAGAGTTGTTCCCGCCTCATGTTTTGTAAGAGATTTCATGGTCCCATTGTAAAGAGTAGATGATTTAAAACGTGTTCCCAAGATAAACTTTCCCATTGTCATTAATGAGGATGGATAATACTGAGTGACAAGTGCATTAGGAATGACACAGAAAGAGCTGTTAGATTTGTCAGAGCGTATCACTTCAGGCATTGACACTTGAGGACATTCTTTTTGTGGATATTTGGTTGGGGGGGGAGTCTGATTTAAAGACACCAAAGTTTGTGTTTACTGATAGAATGATGTATTTTACAATTTATAAATATATATTTTCCAGTGTTTATAAAATATTTGGAAAGTTAGTTAGATTGAGTTCTTCCACATTTGAAGTTCAATCTTTTGTTATATCCCAATTTCTTTCTAAGAAAGTCATCAAACTGCATTAGCATTGCACATTCAAATATTTGTACAAAACTAAGTTGTCCTTTTAAAAAAGTCACTTCTCAGAATATCCAGTGAAAGGAAGGATACAAAAATTATGTAAACTTAAGTTTTTGTTGCCCTATTATATATAAAAGGCATCATCTTGAGAATGAATATTTTGAAATAAGAAAATACATATAATTATTACCACCCTAAAAATACATTACTTCAGAGAAACCTTTTAAGTATTAATTAGTAAACAATTAATAATGTATGACTTTGCTGGTTATTTAAAGCATTTTCAAACTGATGTATGCCTCTCGATTTCAATTTTGAACATTCATTTGGTCACTTTTTCGCCTTGGTTCATCTTTCGTGCTGCCAACCAAATTTTGTCTCTGTATACCTTTTTGACACTAATAATGACTGAGTCTGTGTTCATTTGAGTTCAAGATTTCCCAAGCGGCAGTTTGGTGCTGGGATAAACTATGTATCATGATTACATACCACTAATCTGTCTCAACCAAACCACCCTATGACTGAAATCATACTTGACAGTTTACCTCTTCTTGATGAGCCTGAGGTGAACATAGCTACAAACCATCCCTAGGAGGACATGGCAACTACTCCATATGCTAGGGAGGGGCCTTTTATTTGTGACACAAGACTTCAACTATGCCTGTAACACAAGGGAGGTTTCTCTCTCCACCCCTGTCTTTCCCTCTCCTTCTCTGTCATTTTTCTAATATTTAATAGTATTACTTCTCTAACACAAAAAATTCTTTGCAAAAAATATTTTGTAAACACTTGCAGGCACTCTTAAGTATTACATATAATATTAGCTTTGCCATATGTTTAAAAGCCATAAAGTCATTTTTAAAATATGTATGCTTTATAAAATTTGTTCTATTATATACCATAGTTGTCAAATATTGACTATTTCCAATTAGTATCTGACACTAATTAGAATTCATCAGTTCTAAAAACATCTTAGTATTTTGTATAATGAAAATGTTTCTTAGAATGAGTTTCTCAGAAAATATTTTCATTTTAATATAAAAATGTTTTTAAAAATAAGTTTCAAATTCTTTAAATTTTTTTAATAAATTTAAAGAGAATAAATTGAAGACTATACAAGAAAACATTTAGGGTTTTTTAATAAAGATTTTCTATCCAGACTTAATTAACATTTTCTACAATTGCTAAAGTCTAGTGAAAAATTGCTACTAAAGGAAATAAATTAGTTACTGCCTTATATCGTATTTGAAAATGCTTTTCCTTTGGAGTCAAAATATTATCAAACATTTTTGAAGTGATGGACAAAAAGAGGTTAAAAGCCTTACTGTTAATACTCTGGAAAAAAGAAAAATCTAAAATAATTTTCAAGAATATACATGGAGGGTTTAATAGTAAGACTAGTTTTTACAACCAACATAGAGGCCCAAGTGAATAACAGACTTAACTTGGGAAAGGAAATACCAAGGTTATTTAAATGAAGGCATTTGGATATTAAAATGACTTTTCATAGACCACATACAGAAAGTTTTTTATAAAATAGAACCTATTTTAATCTGTCCTAGATAGTTGAAATGTGATTCTATCAGAAGAGGTTCAAAGGCTAGAAAAGTTTGGTCAGTAGAGTTCTGTTACATCATCAGAGCAAGCACTTATTAAGCTTATTTCTGTTCTTTACTTTTAAATAAAGTTTAGTGCTCCCTAAGACAATATTTTCTATAATATTATTATGAAGTAATAGTTATAATTCTAATTCAACCTGCAAACATTTTTCTAAAGCACCTGTTGTCAAATAAATATCAACTTTATTTTGGAAATTTATGAAAATTAGTTTTCCAATATCACAGAGGTGATTATTGAATCTGCATAGTAAATGAAGCACTTATATTTTTAATGGAATATAAATTATTTTTAATAATAAATTTAATCTTTTTATTTTCTGTTACTTTTATTTTAATTAATACAGTATGTATTAGTGAGCCAAATAAGATTTCTGTAATCACCTAAAATAAATATTCTAAAGAAACCATCAAAATACAATATATTTTCACATTTAAAAATTTTTCAGTTATATAGATTGTACCACTGAGCTACATAATATAATCCGGTGATGTCTATTTCTGAAGAAGTACTATCAAAGGAAATTAGTAAACTATTTATATATATTCTTTATTCCAAAAGCAATTAAATGAAAAAATGTCTAATTTATACACTGATTCATGCTAGGCGGACTTAATTCTGTGCTAAATTTTAACTTAGGCAGTTAAATCTGTGATCCATTCATCTTATCATACCAAGTTATTCCTCCCATCTAATTACATGATCATTAAATGTACTTTTTATTGTAGGATGCATCTGCATTATTTTTTAAAAATAAAATCACTTCTATTTTTCCTACAAGTATCTATTTTCTAATCAGAAGAGTTGATATTACATTGCTTTGCAGTAAATATTCAAAAATTTAAAAATGGTAATTATTGAATACTTATAATCCAAAAAAGTAGTTGCTTCATTTGAGAAGCAAAATTGGTTTATATCAAATTTAGAAAACAAGCAAATTATGATATTTTATGTAATATTTAAATAATTATGCTTTTAGTATTTTAATAGAAGCCTTTTTCAACTCTTTAATATACGTTTATGCCTAAACATAATACAATGTGAATCCTATAAAAAATGTGACGATAAAGTAAAATGGTCATGCCTTTTAGCAAGTAAACTGTATAAAATTATACAAAAAAAATGCTTTATATCATCCTATACAGCAAAATTATTGTGTTCTTCAGACTTTAATAAAGTGATTGGCAGAAGTCAAATCGCTTGTTTCCTACCTCAAGAAAAAATAGTTCTTTCCCATTATTATTACTTAAAATAATTCCTTTTGCTTAAAATATCAGGATGAAATTTCTGTGATGTTCTGTGTGTGTGTGTGTGTGTGTGTGTGTGTGTGTCTATAAGAGCCCTATAAAAGAAGTGGTCTGTCAGATTTTTTAATATTCTGACAAAATGAAACAATCATTATTTCAATATAATGTACATTTGAAGCTTAGGGACTGATTATGTGAGAATGAAATCACTCTTACATGTTTATTAATTCATTTAGTAAATTCCTTCAGAGGTATTTAGGTGAATCTTTACTCTAGTCCAGTGCTTTTTATTAAAATATGTGTTGAAGAAGTCAGTGCCTATGCCATTATGTTGGAGTATTGAGCCTACATTTTCTTCTAGTAATTGCAGAGTTTCTGGTCTTATTCCTAGGGCTTTGATCCACTTTGAATTGACTTTTGTTCAGGGTGAGAGATAGGGATCAAGTTTCTACCTATGGATATCCAGTTTTCCCAGTACCGTTTGTTTAAAAAGCTAGTTTTTCTCCAAAGTATGTTTTTGGTACCTTTGTTGAATATTAGATGACTCCATCTATGTGGATTTGTCTCTCTATCTTCTATTCCATGGGTCTTTTTTTTTTTTTTAGTTTTGAAATAATTTTATTTCATTAGTGATTCTTTGAAAATCATTCTCCCTCTCTGTTGCATGTGATAATTCTTAGACTGGTTGATCAGCTCACCACCACTCCATCTCTAGCCAGTCCATGTAAGTGGAAGTCACTGTATATCGAAAAACAACAAACAAACATAAAACCAAATAACCTGATGCCTAAATCATGTCCTCTGAACCATCGTGAGTTACTGTGACAATGTGGATGGTCTTCAATTTGGTCTGTTCTTGGACTTTGCCTCCCAGGGGAGATATTCCATGGGTCTTAATGTCTGTTTTGGTGCCAATATTATACAGTTCTTGGTACTGTAGCTCTGTAGTATAATTTGAGGTCCAGTATTGTGATGCATCCAGCAATTGCTTCTCTTGCGCAAGCTGCCTCTCTCCTCATCTCTTTCCTTAACTCAAAGTTGGATCTTGACTGTTTCACCTTCAGTCTTTACAATGGCCCATTCCTCTATCACTTCATGTCTTTTGTAAATGCCAAAAACAATCTTCCCTTTTCCTCCAAGCATTCTTGGTAGATCAATCTTATTCTGAATTTAGTCTTCAACGTAGATCTCATTTCCTCTAAAATTTCTTCCTGATTTTTCAAGACTGGGTTAGGTAGCCTACTTCTGTCCTCCTGAAGTACCTTATAAATTACCTCTGTTGCAGTACGTACAACATTATTATAATTTCCTATTTCCTTGGTGTTTCTCTTCACTGTTCTGTAAAAGAGTGGCAGAAACTCTTTTATTTAACTTATTTTATTTCATTTATGCATCCACAGCACCTAACACAGGGACTAACATGTAACATGTATTCAGTAAATATTTGTTCAGTGAGTTAAAAAAAAAACACGTAACATGTTGAACTCTGTCTGCTAAATACCTGACTACATCTCTAAAGCTTTCCATGTGGGTTTGGGTTGTCTGTTCTTTGAGTGGGATCATTAGTAATCATTCTCCAAGCCCAAATCAAACAGTTTAAATTTTCTGTAATTACCAAACAGTGTCTTGTCTTTAATATGTACATACTCTATTTGGACTATGGCCCCACATCATCCTGGACTTTTGTTTTTCCCTCTTGTTCTTGGTACTGAATCCAGGGCCTTGCACGTCTTAGGCAAGAGCTCTACCACTGATCCACATCATCAGCCCTTTTAATTTTATTTTGAGACAGGGTCTCACCAAGCTGTTCAGGCTAACCCCAAACTTGCAATCTTCCTGCGTAGCTTCCTGAATAGTGGGATTATAGGCACATGCCACCATGCCCAACTTCAACCTATAAGATTTTTTAAAAAAATAACATCTCTCTTAATCTTTTCTTCTTTATTATTTTTTATTTTAATTTATTATGACAGCAGAATGCATTACAATTCATATTTCACATACAGTGTACAATTTTTCATATCTCTGGTTCTACACAAAATAGAGTCACATCATTCGTGTTTTCATACATGTACTTAGGGTAATGATGTCCATCTCATTCCACCATCTTTCTTACCCCCATGCCCACTCTTTCCCTCCCCTCTTCTTTGCCCTGTCTACAGTTTATCTAATCCTTCCATGCCCCCCTCCAACCACTTATGAATCAGCATCCTTAAATCAGAGAAATCATTCAGTACTTGGTTTTTTGGGATTAGCTAACTTCATTTAGCCTTATATTCTCCAACTCCATCCATTTACCTGCAAATGCCATGTCAATCTTAGTGAAGATTTTCTACTTCCTTTTCCACACTACTCATCCTTCCCTGCCAGTATATTGACTTCCTTCTAAATGTTTGGCTTATTCAAACTCACCTTTTTAAAGAGAAAATATATTTCTTATTGCATTAAAATTGTGTTGAGAATATTGCATTAAAATCCTGTTGTATAATTTTAGTTCAAATGTAAATGTATTTTTTTAACTAGTCTATATTATCTGGTCCTCTTTTCTCTATTGACATGTGTTGGAAATTCAATGTGGATACCTATCAGAATGACTAATTAAGGCCAAACCAACTGAGCATTTTTAAATACACCCTTCAAATACAGGGGAGGTGCCAAGTTGATAACATCTTGATAACATTGGATAGTAATATCCCAGGGGATTACATATTCATTGTTCGTAGTCAATTGACATTTATATCTATTATCACTTGAGTGAAACATGATTAATTATTTTATGATAATTTGAATCATTGTTTAAAATTCAGTTTGCAAAGTGTTACATCCCTACTGTCTTCCTTTTCCATTCCTGTAGAAGATATCCTATAGAAGACTCTGCTATTTAGGAAAGATGGTTTTTCTCCTAATTGTTACACTGTGAGCCTCATTGTTTTCCAAATAAGAGACTCCTTCTCCCTCTAAGAGTAATAATTTTATGCTACAGACATCAAAGATGAGAACAAAAATGTCATAATGTAATTCTGTCTCCATGACACCTAACAATAATACAATGTAAAAATTTGAATTACAGAAAGCCTTTTGCTTTTCCCATGTCAAAAGTCATGTTTCTCTGATATTTCCTCTCCAAATTGAGCGTTTAAATAACCATTTTTATATCATTTATAAAATTGTAATTGCAGGGGCTGGGGATGTGGCTCAAGCGGTAGCGCGCTCGCCTGGCATGCGTGCGGCCCGGGTTCGATCCTCAGCACCATATACCAACAAAGATGTTGTGTCCGCCGAGAACTAAAAAATAAATATTAAAAATTCTCTCTCTCTCTCCTCCTCTCTCACTCTCTCTTTAAAAAAAAATTGTAATTGCATCTTGAAATTTTACCCATAAAATATTTCTCCAAAACTGTACTTTTTCATAAGGTTATTTTTTACTAACCAAGAAATAGGGAATTTTGATTAAAGATTTATTGCCTTAACCCATATGCAATATGTTTATCACTTAGGAAACATTTTTTTAAAAAACATGTGTTAGTAATTTTGTATAATGCTATAATTACATCTTTCATTGGTATAATTATATAAAAGTAAATAAAGGTAGGGCTAAGATAATACCTAATTTAGGATGCCTTTCAACTGTATAATGCTTATAATTAAAGATTTCAAATAGAAAGTAAAGGGCTTGGTTCCCTGCACATCAGCCTAATTTTCAAAATAAAACCATAAAGGTTATATGAATGGTTGCTTGACTTACACATTTCCACCTAAAACTTTTTGTACCCATCCCCCCGCAAAGTGGTTAATGTCTCTTTACACTATACTACAGCACAGAACTTAAAAGATGAATTTTGTAGCTCATTTGACATGCAAGTTGAGAACAGAAATGATTTAACTAGCCTAGAAAGTGTTTAAGATTTGCAATGAAAGTGTATTAGTATTCATTTCATGTTACTTAAACCAGTGAGAGAAAACATCATTCATTACCTGTTATTAAAAGTAAACATCAGGGCTGGAGATATAGCTCAGTTGGTAGAGTGCTTGCCTTGCATGCACGGCCCTGGGTTCAATCCTCAGCACCAAAAAAAAAAAAAAAGGTAAACATCATGTATTATACATGATTTCATAGATTTCAGTCATTATAGATAACTCACTAAATAGAGACTTAAAAAAGATTTTATGTCTTCATAAACAGGATGTTTACTCCTTATCCAACTTACTTCTTGTTAGACCAAAAGGCACATATGACTATTTAGATGCAGACAAATAAATGTAGATATCCCAAAACATGTACCCTCATAACCGCCTTACTAATGGCACACTGAGCTCCCTGGTGAGTAATGGCTTGCTCATCTCAAGAAAAGCAAGACTTATTTGTGAAGTGACTGTGAAAAGCACTTTTCTTCCCTGACTGCTGCACACAGAATTCTCTGATCCTCTGAAGTGGCCATGTGACTAAAGGTTTAGCTGCTGGCAGCTAAAATATAGGTCATCAGGCTCTAGGTCTGCTGCAAAACTACTCTTCTCTCTCTCCTACCAAGAACTTTGTTTGAAGCAGAAATTGGCTTTTAGATAAGTATTGTTCATTTTGTTTTTCTAGAGGGAGCATATAAAGTGGGTGAGAAAGAGTGGGTAGCAAGGCTCATGACTGTGACCTTAGTTTACTTCTCCACCCTGATAGGTATAGGAAAACATCTAGCTCGATACCCTCTGTGAGGACACTCCAAGGCCTTTACCAGCTGTGGGTACATCGGGACCCATTGCTGAGTAATTCATGGCAGTGGACGCAGTATAATTATTCTTTATTCTGATTGCTATTGTATGGTTCAGTGAAGGACTTCTCTGTTGCTTCTGAATCTCTAAGAACTGTTCAAATGGTTTTAACTAAAGTTTTATCAATTATTACATTTTTTTAAAGAAATAAGCACCATTTGGGACTTGGAAGTCTTTTGTTGTAGGGGGATTTTGTATTGATGACATTTGTTAGAAATAATATTTATTCTAAATGCATATAACTGATTATTATTGAATATGTGTAAACTAGAAGTAATAATTTGATAAAACAGCCATTTCATATAGAGTTCACTCAAGTGGTTTCTATGTGAGATGATGAAATGTAAAAGAATAAAACTCAAATTTAATAAAACTAACAAGACATGATAGTTTTTATGAGATTTCAATTGCCATGTTTTCAGTTGCATATACTCCTGGAATCTCATTATTTATCACCCATTATAAATTCTAATTTTAATTATTTAAACTTTTATGCGGCCTGGAAGTATAGCTCAGTGGTAGAATAAGTCTTGATGTGCTCAAATCTCTGGGCTCATTCTCTACCCAACTCCCTAAAAAAACACTGTATATGCCATAGATATGAACTATTTAAACATGTTAATGCATGTTTAAACTCTGAAATATGCTTGAAATTTCTTCTGCATAATATGATGTGCTGATATGTACTTCTCTTTTGGTTATTCATCTAATGAAATACTGATTAGCTCATCTTACTCTGTTTAAAGAGGGACTTGTTATAGCTGATATTCATTATAATATTTATATTCATTCATAATATTGCACATATTTGAAACTACTTGCCTATAAAAATACAAGTTATTCCTTAAGATTACCTTGAACCACAAGAAACATAGTATGTGTTCTAAAAAACCAAAAATTACAATCTTTAGATGTGTCCTGCATGGCTAATACTATTAGCAGTCCATTGGTCTGTTTATTGCATTGGAGAAAGTAAAATCACTAGAATTGTTTTTTAATAGAAATGAATGAAGAGATAAGATCTGTGTAGCATCTCTTGGAAATTGCCTTTAATAAAGTAACAGAATATAATTTAATAATCTTTCAGGGTATTTTAAACACTGTGAACACTATTTTATAAAAAATTTACACAAGGGCATTAAAGACACATTCTTACTTAATAAATAATGTGAAAAAATTGCCACAGACTGGGTATGTTAAATTACTTGCATGCTTTTGGCATTAAATTAGAAAACCTTTAAGTGTGAGGCTACCAGTCATCACCATCTCTTAAGTCAACACATTTAAAGGTAGAAAATGAGGAAACATGTATTTCTCTCTAATTCGAATAGAAGTCTGTGTTTTAAGCATATTTGGAAAGTTATGCCAAAACAGAATAGGGAGGAAAGTCTCATTTATAAAACTTTGAATGTGAGTTACCGGTTTTGCTTGACCTACAACTGTTTTTTTTTCATCTTACCAAATAGACATTTTAGGACTGCAGAAAGCTTATTTTAAAAATGCCAGTGAATGATTTCTCTCAAACCCAAAGATCCTCACAAAATTAAACATGATTTATTCAGGAACAGGAATTCTGAAAGAATTTGATTTTACATTTATGACCTGAATCAATGTTCTGTCCATATTACTAAAACAAAACTGAATTATTACCTCTTCCATGCAGTAGCAATAAGGTCTTCATTAATTTGAGTTTCTAATATGTACTTTTTTAAAAATATTTTTTAAGTTGTAGATGGACACAATATCTTTATTTTATTTACTTATTTTTTTAATGTGATGCTGAGGATAGAACCCACCTGGCCTCACACATGCCAGGTGAGTGAGCCACAACCCTATCCCCTCTAGTATGTACTTTGTATAAAAAGCACCTGGACTGTAAAGTATGTAAGTTATATTTGTACACAATGTGGCAGTAACAGTACTTTGGAAATTACTGAAGCTAACTGCTTGGTAACTGTTGTAACCCTCTTTTTTCTATTTTATTGCTAATACTATAAAAAACAGTTATTTATCCACTTGGTTTTCTTAATATATAAATTATTTGCACACCAGAAAAATCACAACTGTCAAATAGAAGTGAAGGGTAAAGGTCAGGAAGGGAAGAAATTATGACAGATTGGGTAGGCAAAGTTCTTGCCTAAAGAATCATAAGAAGGTAGTATGGTATAGCAATTGGTTCATTGAAACTTTTTAAATATTTTATTGAACATATAAATGTTAAAAGTTATAATGTAGGCATTGTGGGAAATGCAAACACTATACATGGTTTCTGTTCTCACTTAACATCTTAGGTACTTTTATTGTGAAAGTTGTGGAAGAAGTCCTTCCCCTTCAGAACCCTGTAGACATAGTCTTTTTCAGATGGTTATAGAAAGATTATTTTTTCCTCAAATAGAATAAAGCAGTCATTATATACTTAATATCAAAACTGATAGAAACCTGTTTTAACTGCTGACTTCTACTTCAAAATGTATTCATAATTAAAAATTTTTACCACCTCTATTCAGTCCAAGCCATCATAATGATCTGCCTGTATTATCATAATAGTACCCTGACTAGTCCTTGCTTTTCACCATAACTGCATTCAGAATCATACAGTAGCCAGGATGATGACTCTTTTAAAATATAAGACAGATTATGTCATTTCTCTCCTTAAGGCTCTCCACTGATTCTCCATTTCACTCAGAAGTCCTTTAGTGACCACCAAAATTGTGTATGACCTGGCCACCTTAACTTTGATCTCATCTTTTATTCTTCTCTCACCATTTGCTCCAGTTTAGCAATGGCCTCTTTGCTTTTATACACTAAGCCTGGGGCCTTTTGCTGCTTGTTCCTTTTGCCTGAAATGTTATTCTTTCAGATGGTTTTATGGTTTTTTTCAATGCTTTTAGATATTTGTTAAAATATCACCTTCTTAATGAGGCTTTTTCTGACTATGATTTTCAAAGTAGCAAAGTACCCCCATTCTGCCATTCCCAATCACTCACAATCTGTTTCATTTTCCCCCATAGCATTCATCACCTTCTAACATGCTGTATAATTTTCTTATGTATCATATTCACTTTCCATCTTTCTGGACAAGGATGTGGGCTTCTTAGGAACAGGAGTTTTGTCTGTTCTATTCTGCTTAATGTCTAACACATGATAAGATGCTCAATAAATATTATTAAGTTAAAAAGATTATAGGTTAGTTTCTCTCAAATTATCTCAGTTTCCCTATTTAAATTATATACAAGAATGGGTGAATTTGGAAGCTTATTTGTAATAATAAGATTTATTGCTATCACCAGATGTGGTGGCCCACACCAGTAAAGACAGCACCTTGAGTAGGTGAGACAAAGGATCACAAGTTTGATGCAGTCTCTAAAGCTCAGTTGAGACCCTCAGCAACTTAGCGAGACCTTGTCTCGAAAAAGACTAGAGATATAGCTTAGTGGTAATGCATTCCTGAGTTCAATTCCATTTACAAAAAAAAAATACATAAAAATATATATAAATATATATGTTGTTTTATATATATTTACATTTTCTATAACTATCATTTATTGGGTACTTAATATGTATTAAACATGGAACTAGGCACATCTTATTGAATCCTTACAACTAGCCCTCAGAGTCAAGTAACCAGGCTTTGAGAGGTTGTCACTTGCCTGGTGCCACATTTCCAGTAACTGGCTAAGTTTCAAGCCCATAAGAAACTCCAAAAGCTAAACCTTCTTTGTAGCTTTTGAGTTATGGTCACCTTTACCAAGTTGAATCTAATATCAATATTCTTAGTTGTCGTATAATATTCTCATTGTAAGCTAAATAGTAACAAAGAATATAACTTCTGATATAGATATATTTTACATATGTTTTCATCAAAACTGTAAATTATATGTGTATATAGCTTATTCATTTACTAGAATAGGTTCATAATGTGGCATAATTGACAGTCACAGTCAAATCACTGAGAACAAAATCTGATTTTATTCTTTCATTCCAATAGTTTCTAATACAGTCTCTCTTTTCATTGCTATGAGTTTTTCCCATGGTTTTTATGAAACAAGATGCAAACCCCTTTAGTTTGTCTTTATTATGTAATTTTGAGACTTTTTCTTAGGAGCAGGGCACTACACTAAAATGCAGCTATGCCTTATTTTGGTTTTTGTTTTATTTTATCAAATCACATTTTCAAATGCATCGATTTTAGACAAGAATAACACTGGAAGCCAGTCATGGTGCACATGCCTATAATCCTAGCAACTCGGAGGCTGAGTCAGGAGAATTGCAAGTTCAAAGCCAGCCTCAGCAACTTAGAAAGGCCCTCAGCAACTTAGCAAAACCATGTCTCAACATAAAAAATGAAAAGGAATAGGTATGTTGTTCAGTGATTAAGACCTTCTGGGTTCAATCCCAGTTACCATTAAAAAGGAAAAGGAAAAAAGCATAACATTAGAAATGAAACATCTCAAAAATTTAATCCGTTTATAATTACCACACCTACGTATCCATTGGAAAGTCTTCATAAAACCAAAAGGACATGCATTTCCCAGTTTTAAGGCCTTTGCTTTATTTTGCATGGTACATTGAAATTTTTAAAATATTCCAGGTTTTTTTTTGGTGTGTGTATGTGTGTGTGGTTACAATAGTTTCCTAAAACACTCTACTTTCATTATAATTTGCAAAACTAGATCTTTAGCTTATGTTGATGTGATTATATTTTTTAAATGAGCAGAGTGTAATATTTAACACTGATTTAAATTCACAGAACAATTGAGAGAAAAGAATGAGTTCCCTTTCTCCCCACCTAACTTTCCCCCTGCTTTCCCTATTATTAACATCATACATTAGTGTAGTGCATTTGTTATAATCAATTAGTCAAAAATAATGATACATTATTATTTATTAAAGTCCATAGTTTATACTAGGTTTCACTCTTTTTGTTGGACCTTCAATGGTTTTGACAAATGTGTAATCCCATATATCTACCATCACAGTAATATATAGTGAGCCATGAAAAAATCCCATTCCCCACCTCTTCATCTCTTTCTACTTCCTCCCTCTCTACCCCTAATCCCCAACAGCTTTGATCTTTTTACTCTCTCAGTAGTTTTGTCTTTCCCAGAATGTCATATAGTTGGGATCATACAGTATATAGCTTTTTCAGATTTACTTCTTTCACTTAGCAATAAGTATTTAAATTTTTTTCATGTCTTTTTGTGGCTGAATAATTCATTTCTTTTTTTCTAATTTGTTGTATATGGCAGCAGAATGCATTACAGTTCATATTACACATAGAGAGCACTGTTTTTCATTTCTCTGATTGTATACAAAGTATAATCACAGCATTCGTATCTTCATACATGTACTTAGGGTAATGATGTCCTTCTCATTCCACCATCTTTCCTACCCCCATCCCCTTTCCCTTCCCCTCCAATCCCTTTGCCCTAATTAGGGTTCATCTAATCCTCCCACGTGCCCCCTCCCAACCCCACTATGAATCAGCCTCCTTATATCAGAGAAAACAATCAGCATTTGGTGTTTGGGGGTTGGCTAACTTCACTCAGCATTTTATTTTCCAGCTCCATCCATTTACCTGTAAATTGCATGATTTATTCTCTTTTACTGCTGATTAATATTCCTTTGTGGATATGCCACATTTTTTTTATTCATTCATCTACTGAAGGGCATCTAGGTTGGTTCCACAGGTTAGGTATTGTGAATTGTGCTTCAGTAAACATTGATGTGGCTATGTCTCTGTAGTATGCTGTTTTTAAGTCCTTTGAGTATAGACATAGGAGTGGGATAGCTGGGTGAATAACTCATTTCTTTAGTGATAAGTTATTTTTTTATTTTTATATGTTCTTTTCAGTTATATATGACAGAAGCATCTATTTTAACATATTTATACAAACATGGAGTACATCTTATTCTAAATAGGATTCCAGTCCTGTGGATATACACACTGTTGAGGTTCACTGTGGTACATTCATATGTATACATAGAAATGTTATGACAGATTCATTCCACTGTCTTTCCTATGGGTATACCAGTTTGTCTATCCATTTACCTACTAAAGAACATCTTGGTTGTTTCTAAGTTTGGGCAATTATAAATAAACCTGCTGCTATAAACATTTGTTTTTTATTTTGTGTGAGTATGTTTTCAGCTCATTTGGTAATTGATGTAAGAGTAATTTCAGCTCATCAGTGTAATTGATGTAAGAATATTTTAGCTTTGTAAGAAACTGCCAAACTGACTTCCAAATGGCTGTATCATTTTGTATTCCCTTCAGCAATGAATGAAAGTTCCTTTTGCTCCACATTCTGGTCAGCATTTTGTGTTATCAGTATTTTGGATTTTAGCTATTCTATAGATGTGTAGTAGTACCTCTTTTTATTTTCTAAACCCCTGATGACATATGTTATGAACATCTTTTTATATGCTATGTGCTATTTCTCTGTTTTTGGTGAGATGTCTGTTTAGATATTTTGCCCATTTTTTTAATTTGTTTTTTTTTTTCTTATTGAGTTTCAAGGGGTTTTTAAGTATTTTTAAAATACTTTATCAGATAAATGTTTAGCATGGATTTTCTTCTAGTCTGTGAGTTGTTTTCTTATTCTCTGATTTTCTTTCTCAAAGCAGAAGTTTTTATTTTAATAGTTAATCCTAACAATTTTTTTGTCATGGATCATACTTGTGTTGTATCTATAGAGTCATCACCAAACCAAAAGTCACCTAAACTTTCTTCTTTGTTACTTCTAGAGTTTATAGCTTCATGTTTTGTATTTAGATTTTTTTGTC